AGAATTTAGCACTGAAAATTTTTGAGAAATGCAGAAGGACTTACAAAACTTGCAAGAATCATTTCAGCTGATTGCATGTAAAGAGCGCAGGTACCCAAATGTGCAGGTAAAGGAATGAGTACCATCCTGCAGTGCCTGCTTATCTTGAAACCATCTGGAGCACAAAAAGCACAGAGGTCACTTCAAAAGCTCCCATTAGTTCCAAGATAATCACAGAAGCTAAACCCTTCCCCTTCCTGTTGGATTCTTAGGCCAATTTTTAAAATTATTTTAGTTCTGCACTTGAAGGTCAAAATCATCACTGGATTCACTGCAGGGCTGCACCCTCACACCTTGACCTGGCAAAGGGGGCCTGGATGACTGAAGTCAGATTTGGTTTGGTCAAAATTTGCCCTGGATTGTTCTGTACCAGAAACAATTCCAACTGACCTTAGTTGCAGTTCAGCAGAGTTTGGCATGCATCCCAAGTTTTCTTAAATTACAGGATGAAAACGATGAAAGATGCAGACCTCTATATAACCAATACTTAACCTGAAAGGTACCATTTCTGAGAGCTGCACTTTGAAGAATTTGTCCCAAAAGGCAATGGAAATAAAAAATAAAGGACTGTCTGCTCCAAAGAACCAAAATGCTGGAAAAAGAATCTCCAGAAGTAACCAGGTAAGAGAAAAAGGGATCAAATCTCAAAGGAATCTGGAGGAAAAATCTTCATTGAAAAATGTGTCCAAATGTGTTTCAGAGAATTTTGTTTCTTCTTCAGAGGCAATTCTTCTGGTTAACTAAAAGGAATTTGGGATTGGTGTGAGCTTGCTCTGTCCCCATGCAGGGAGCCACCGTAAAAATCAGGTTGAGAAGGAAATGCTGAGCCATATCTGGAAATGAGAATGGCATTTACTAGACCAGGGGTTTGCAACCTTAAACACTCAAGGAGACATTTGGACCTGTTCCCCACAAAAAAGCCTGGGAGCCACAAAACCCTTCCCATGCCTGACTATTTCTTGAGCGGCCACAAAACTAGTTGAATTAAATGTTCTGTTTTCTTCTGAAACTTTTCTTTTCTTGGATTTATCCATGGTTGGCCTACTGGGGTTGAAAAGCTCAATAAATTGTCTGCCGCCAGGTGTCGCACATTGGCAGTTGTGACACATATTTTGAGTGACAGGGAGCCGCAGAAGAGGGATGAAAGAGCCACATGCGACTCCAGAGCCGCAGGTTGCTGACCCCTGTGCTAGACTAAATATGGTTTGGCTGAATAAAAGCCTTTTGCTGCTGAACGCTCCAACCGTGGGCACCTCCAGTAGGTTTGCCTGTGTTTTCTGTTGCCCTCTTGGAGAAGAACAAACTGGGCATTTGATATTATCTTTTCCCAAATCCAACTTTCCCTTCCATTATCCAATGTGGCCTTTTCCAAGCTTTCCCTTCAGGTGTGTTGGGTTGCAGCTCCAGAGGACACCAGGCAGAGAAGAGACATCTTGAACTGGAACAGCTTTGAGGGTCTCAGGCAGAGACCTGGCACATCCCTCATTAGCTGGTCCTCTTGAACTGCAGATGCCATCGCATTTGATTGACAGTCCCTCGGGATGGCCTTAGGTGCTGCAAGGAAAGGTCACAGCAGCTATCCACAGAAGCTCTTAGAGTATTTCGCTTTATTTTGTCGGCATGCAACTTCACACTTCACCTCTCGTGGAGAGGCGGCAGTCTGGTCTAGGGTATTTTAAAATAAAATTTTGGGGTGGAACTGGCAATTAGCTGAATTCAAAGAGAAGAGAATAATAATCACGGAGGATCTTACAGGAATGGCACCTTTTCACTTCTTTTTCAACCCAGCTAATTGGCAGTTGAGGAGCCTCCCTGCCACAGCTTTCTGTGTAAACCTGTTCTGCTATGAACCCAGGAGTCGGTGGAATCTGTAAATTTAAGTATAAAGGTACAAATTGGCCATCTTCTCTGTGGATCTGAAATGAAGTTTCCATCCACTTATAGCAGTTCTCTGTTCTCTTTCTTGTAGCAAAAATATCATCTAAACACATAAGGCCAATTTACCAGAAAGCAAGCAAATGAAATTGCTCTAGGCTGTAAAAATGTTTCCCTAACAGCAGAGGCTGTCATTGTCTCAAATACGCTGTGATCCCACACCGTTTTTCTTCTTCTTTGAATTACACTAATGGACTATTTTAAAGTGAATTTCAGTTAGGGCAAGACATTGTGCGGTGTTTCATTGACATTTCACCTGGTTCATAATCTCTGCTCTTGTGTCTTCCGATATCTGGATAATACAATTCTGCACTTTGGGCACTAGATGGCAGCAGATTTTGTTGCTTCTGATTCTACCTCTTGTGTTCAAGAGAGATAATAGCATTCCTATTTAGTGTCCACCAGATGCTTAGCCTGCAAATCTCTGACTGGAGATTTGTGCGTGTTCATTGCAACACATAAAGTGCTTCATCTATTTTAAGTGCTGCTTTAATTAAGTGACTAAACAAAAATGAGAATAAAAGTCTCAGGTTCACGAGTGTCCCAAGTTCTTCTGAAGTTCCTTTATTGTAGTTGGCATAAAATACATGTAGCATTTGCCAAGGGAACCCCTTGGTTTATTAGTCCTTGATTTGCCCCCTAAATGTGATATGTTTTGCTGTTGCCTCTTTCTTCTTTTTAATCTCTGCAGTTTATTGCGTCTATTTCTGTTTCATATTCATACTTCTGTTTTTTTTATCCTGCAGCTCTGGGAGCATTTCAAAGCCTTGGGGTTTATTTTAAATAAACTCTGTAAGACACGCACAGGTATTGTTTTTGTTATCACTTCATATAATCCACCACCACCCCTTAGATTTATTAGAAGTGTAATTTATTACAGCCTCAGCTTTGCTCAAATGCCCCCATCAAACTGGCGATACAGAGAGAACAAAAGAAGAGGAAGGTTTTGCAGCGTCTACACCTTCAGTCTGCCCCAATGCCATACTTGGAAGGTCCAACTGCAAACATCCTTTCACTTGGATTCCTCAGAAGCAATGCCCCCTCCCCTTCCCACCCCCCTCTGCCCCTTTGAAAACAATCCTGATGGGATTTGTTCATTCATTCATTCATTCATTGCATTCCTGCACCATTTGAATCAGAGCTGATAATGGAAGTTTACAGCATGCAACTTACAGTATCCAATCCAACCACAATCCAACCAAGAATAGAAATAGCACAATGCAATTGTGTCTTCCACATGACTCCCAGCCTGATGATGTTCCAGAAGCCTTCCAGATCAAAGCTTTCCTCCCAATGTCGAGGGACAGGATGCTTGTTGAGAAGCCCCGTTGATTGTGTTTTCTGTTGAAGGGAGTGTGTCTGTCCAGAGACATGGAATTTCCTTTTCATTGCTTTCTATTTTGAGTGCAAGCTTTTGGAGTCAAGCAACCCCCACATTTCGTAAGATTAATAAAAATAAACCAGAACTCCTGTCAGATCACAGTGTTGGCCCACAGTTCAGTGGCCATGAAATGCGGCAGTCTATCTTGGCCCTCAGGATTGTGATCCCCTTTGCGGTGAAGATGGGAACTCAAGGGCTAATTTGGTGAAACATGGGGACTGTTGCAGTGGTAGAATACTGCTGGTTTAACAACTGGTTTGGTGAGCACACGCTTCACGCTGAAAATGGAGCATTTAGAAGCTCAGCTGCTTACCTTCCAAGTCAGCAATGGTAAGTAGAACAGTGAGGGGGGGAATCAGCTGTACCGCACGGTTGAGATGAGCTAGAAAGCAGGAAATAAAGGACAGGATGGGGGGGGCAGGTGGGGGGGGCACCTGATCGTCAGAGCTACCAGTTCACTCGAACTGGTCCAAACCGGCTGAATTCCACCTCTGGACTATTGTCAGCAAGCACAGAACACAACCGGGGTCAAGTTGCTTTCAAAAATTACACCCCAACAAAATGGCTCGCTTATTAAATCACGCCTAGTCTGAGGAAACCCTGTGAAGCTCTTCTCCCAATGGCCTTTATCACCTCACCCTTGGCCCATTTTCCCATAATTCCCCATCACCGTTGCACCTACGCAGCAGTGCCTCATATGTAGAAAGCAGAGCTGCCTTTGATGAATGCACTGCACTGCAACGCGACACTCACAATCTCAGAATTGCCATAGTAACGATTCATTTCTTATTGACTAGGTGGATAAAAATTCACCCCAGAGTCGGGCGCAGTCATTTCTGGCAAATGGCCAGAGGCTGTCCTCCAGGCCACCCTCTTTCGTCGGCCTGTTCTCTCCAGATATAGGGACAATTCTGTCTTCTTGGTTTTAAATTTGATGATTCCGTAAAACAAACTGAGCCCCTTTTGTGTGTTTCTTCAGAAAACTTTGTTCTGTTGCTGATTGCATGTTCCTCACTCAGCACTAAAATGAAGGCCTAGGCCAGGGATTTGAATGCCATCTTTAATCCTGTTCCCTGGAAAGATCCTGCCACTGACTTGGATTCAGTGATTTTATGCATCTGATTTGCCCCCTCCCCCAGCACCCCACGAGGGTGGGAGACACTGCCACAGCACCTCTTCCTGCCTTCAGGACCTGGGACTGGCCTCCTGCAGGGAAATGCCATCACCCCTGGAGAGGGACGCATCTCACCAATCCAAGTATTCTACACCAGATGCCGCTTCCAGATGCTTTTAAAAGGGTAGCCCCATGCAAAGCGCATTGCAGTAATCCATGCGACCAGGGAATGAGTGGCTAAGAGAAAGGGCGTAATTGGTGCACATCATGAATGACATTAACACAGCACTCTGGAAGAGCCCAGAGTGAATGCGAGACTTGGGTTGTTTGTTGGGGCCCCAACAGCTGGAAATGGAGGAGGAGGGGGGGGGTAGCCATCAAGTTCAGAGGTCAGGAGAACTTCTCTCCTCTTCTCTTAAGGTCAGTGGTTCCACCACCCCCTCAAATCAGAGGTAAGTTAGTGGAGGGGAAGAAGCCATGAAGATAAGGGGGGTGGGGGAGCAGAGAGATCAACAAGGACACTGCCAGATAAACGTTTCTTAAGCAAATACAAATCTCCTGGTTTATTAAAAAAAACATCTCCTCTATTTGCATTAAGAATTGTGCTCACAGTAACCAAAGATATCAACATTCAGAAACAAAAGAGAAGAAATAATCACGTATACCATATCAAAACTGAATTCAGTAATAACAAGACTTTGAACACATTTTTCCCTGTAAATAATAACAAAGTTACTCTATGCATGCCAGCCTTTGATAAGCTAATACAACATTTCTGAGTAGATCTCCCAACCATGTCGTCTTAAAACAGGCCACGCCCACCTGGATTTTTTTTCCCTCTCCCAGAAAAATCCCACCGTACCTGGATCAGTGAAAGGCGGCCCATTGCTTTGTGGAAAAGAGGTCATGTAAACAGGGTAGACTTGGGTGAGCTGGGACAAGGTTACATCAAACTCGATGCTAGTCAGTAGTGGGTTTCAATTTCGGTCACTACCAGTTTGCTCGCGGGCACATGGGCGTGCTCACACATCCGCAGAGACGTCCGGGTGGGTGGAGCCTCCCAGTTTGCCCAATCAGGGGCAAACCGGTAGGAACCCACCACTGATACTAGTGTAAAATAAAATAGAACCAGGAGAAAAATGGCCTGTAATCACTAGACCTGAAATCACTACCTGAATTTCAGGTAAAGATTCTGCTACGGCAGGGCTCTGAAGGCAACCATGGAGTCTGCAAATGTCACACATTAAAACAAAAGAAAAACAAGAAGAACCAACCACAAAACTACCTCAGCTGAGTCCCATCAGATAGACAATGGATAAATACCGTGGATACCATGTCAATCAATCCACCCAACCAATAGAATGGATTTTGTTCTCTCCTATCTCAAATGTCTCCCCTTTGTTGCTAGGATGGGACCCTTGTCTCCCAGTGGAAAAAGAGGCTGCTTGCCAAGGCCAGCCCATTCGATCATGGCCCCCGGAGGGAAGGGCTGGTCCTGGGGCAGAAGACACCTTCCCTCACAAGCACTCCGCTGAGTCTGGGAAGGTCTCCTCCAGGCCAGTAGAGTCGCCTCCGTCCAGCAGGCCATTGGATGGGAGGCTGATGGAGCTGGGCTCACAGGGGCAGCAGGAAGTGGCTCCTTTCTGGCTTTTTGCCCTGTGCTGGAGGGAGGCATGGAAGTCGAGCGATAGCACCACAAGGCGGTAGAGCTGCAACATCACGATCAAAATATTCTTGGCCGCAAAAAACACGAGCATCTGATTCAGCACTTGAAAGTAGCCCATCAGGATGAGGCGCACCACAAGGAAAGGGCCGTCTTGGATGAACAGGCTGATGCCGATGTTCCACAGGTCAGCACTGTGTCTGCAGAGGAGCAGGTGAAAAACTTTGGTGGACGAAGCTGCTCGATCACAGTTGAGATGTTGCACTAGAAGGAAGGAAGGAAGGAAGGAAGGAAGGAAGGAAGGAAGGAAGGAAGGAAAAAAGAAAGAAAGAAAGAAAGAAAGAAAGAAAGAAAGAAAGAAAGAAAAAAGAAAGAAAGAAAGAAAGAAAAAGAAAGAAAAGAGAAAGAAAGAAAGAAAGAAAGAAAGAAAGAAAGAAAGAAAGAAAGAAGGGCATTTCTTTCAGGAGGTTGAAACCCATGTCATAAATCATCCAAAGACAAAGTTGTCAGACACAGCAGCAGTTTCTAAGCCAGGCTTAGCCTGTGGCATGGTTCGTTCTTTGAATTGTGGCTTTCTGACTAAACCACAAGCTTTACTTAGTTTCTGTTCACATTGTGATGACTTATAAACCGTAACTTACAAATTAGAACATCTAATGAGCATCTAGAACTTCGTATGCACATGGTCAGCATTTCCTAAGTAAATCAATCATCTGTTTATTTTTATCTATATCTACCCATCCATTCATCCATCTATTGATTTATCTATCTATCCATCCATCTATCCATCCATCCATCTATCATCTATTCATCTATCCATCCATCCATCCATCATCTATATATCTATCTATCCATCCATCCATCTATCATCTATCCATCTATCCATCCATCCATCCATCATCTATATATCTATCCATCCATCTATCTATCCATCCATCCATCCATCTATCCATCCATCCATCCATCTATCCATCTATCCATCCATCCATCCATCCATCATCTATCATCTATCATCTATCATCTATCTATCTATCCATCCATCCATCCATCCATCATCTATCTATCCATCCATCCATCTATCATCTATCCATCCATCCATCCATCATCTATCATCTATCTATCTATCTATCCATCCATCCATCCATCATCTATCCTTCCATCCATCTTCTATCTATCATCTGTCTATCCATCCATCCATTCATCCATCATCTATCCATCCATCCATCCATCCATCATCTATCTATCTATCTATCTATCTATCTATCTATCTATCCATCCATCCATCATCTATCTATCTATCTATCTATCTATCTATCTATCTATCTATCTATCTATCTATCTATCTATCTACCTATTTATAGTTAAAGATGGATCTATTTCCTGATAAGACATTTCAGCCTCTTGAATCTTGGCCTTCTGACTTGCCTTTCCATGGTTTCACCCTAGAGGGACCAGCCCAAAGAAAGCCAGTTGAAGCATCTTCCAGGGAGGAGGAATGGAGCATCTTATGCATCTGAGCACAATCCTGGGGAAACATTGACAGGACCAACCTGCTAGATCCAGAGGGAATTGCAACATGCTCCAAGTCCACACGGCTAGGATTGCATACACCAGAGCATCTTTGTTCCTGGGAAAAGGATAGGCAGGCATTTTAGAAACAAGGCACTGACATAATCAGGCCAGACACATTGATTAGAGTAAGGAGGTCTCCAACAATGGAAACCTACAATTAGTTTCTATAATTTATAAAATGGGAGTGAGGAATATTGTAGGTTAGAAATAATGAAACAGGGTGAAGGAAATAAGGTTAAAATTATTTTACTGTACCAATCAATTTTATAATAGCAAACCAAACTTCAGAAAATGAAACTTCCCATCTTTTGGAGAATAAATTATCTCTATCTTTAGAACTCTCCGTATTATAACTTGTTTTATTGCCTTGAATATATATACACATTTAAATGAGTTAAAACCAGTTTTATGGCACCACTTTTTGAAAAAGGTGAGGCATCACCCACTTCGACTAGAGCTAAGAAGAGCTAAATGCCAGTAAATTTCATTTGAGAGTCATAGACAAATACCATTGCTTTTTAATAAGAATGAAGATTTCATCTTCCCTTATTCAGCCTGTTGGTTCTCATGTTCAAAGTTTTATAAGCCTTTGAAACAGTTAAATTCACCACCCCATCATTCTGGTTGATTCACAAGTATTGCACCTTATAAGGAAACTCTGAGGGTGGGGCAACGGGCGACAGTTGGAGAGACAGACAGATGGGTGGGCAAACAGGCAGACAGAATGACAGACGGGTGGAAGGACAGGCTGCCTTCTCTGTTGTGGGTGCAGCTGCAGGGCTGAGAGCACCTGAGCCCTACCGGACGTTCTCTATTTCCAGGGTTTCACTGGTGAACTCCAGGATGTCTGCGGCGGTGCCCACGAAGAGCAGCAGCAACTGAGACAGCTGGTCCCTGGTGATCTCCCCACCGATGGGAAGCAGCCAGCGGCCCAGGATGAGGAGCAGCAGGAAGGTCTGGTGGAGGCTCAGCGTCCAGATGGGCTCACACATTTTGGAGAGCGTGCTGACAAACTCCTGGGCCTGTTGCAGCTGCAGCAAAGGCAAAGGTCAGAAAGCAGAAAAGCGAAGCCAGAGGTGGCAGGGAAGAGGGTTTCTTTGGAGAAGGAGCTTCTGGTTCAAGATCTGCTCTTGCTCACCTTGCACACCTGGGGGGCGTGGGGGGTGTTGAGGACTGAGCAGACCCTTTGCACAGAATCCAGGAGAGTCCCTTCCCATCTCCCCCAACTGCCAGCAGAAATTATCTATTACATCTTACACTCCTGGCTCTCCTGGATTTGGTTTTACTTTTATTGGAAAAGGTATTTATCATTTCAGTGCTCCTTGTGCCCACGCATAATGTACTAGTATCTTTGGGACCACACTGGTGTAATTCTGTTTCCTTGCTGCACCCCCAAGGCTGTTGTTGTTGTGGAAATACATTTTAATTCAAATAATCCAAATTGTGATGATGAGATATCAACCACCACCTCAACACTTACCTTTTCCATTATGTTGTTTGCTGCAGTCTCATTTCTGTAAATGGGTCTGACTTGTTCACTGTGGTTCTTCACCAGCTGCTCATATTCATTGGGGCAAAGCTGCAATAAAAACCCAGCTTCAGCTCTGGTCCTGCATAGACCGGAAGTGGAAGGACCCCAAAGGTTCCCCCTTGTCAGTTCACTGGCTCCCCAAAGCCTTGGAGGTGGCCCCTGGCTCTGGACAATCCGTATGGGGTTAAAGCAGTGAGGGAGTCTAGCGAGGAAGAAGATGCAGTGAGAATCCAGGGAGAAGCTGTTCAAATCAGCCCAGACCCACTGAAGAGCACTCCCCCATTCCCTTTACGTGAGAAAGAAGTCATAGAATCATAGGGCTGGGAGGGACCTTGGAGGTCTTCTAGTCCAACCCACTGCTCAAGGCAGGAGATCTTATAGGTCAGCTGGATCTCCATGGGTTTTTCCTTTGATGCATGCGGCCCTCCCGAGCTCAGTTTTCACCGGCAGAGGGTTGCAGGAGGTTGTGGTAGCTGGAAACGGAGCTTGGAAGCCCATTTTCACTGGCAGAGCACTTGGGCCACCACAGGCGCCCACGACATGAGTGACATTGAGCAGACCACACCCACTCTGGCCACACCCACCCACGCCCCCTGAGGCCAAACACAACCCTGATGCAGCCCTCAATGAAATCAAGTCTGACACCCCTGGCTTAAGCTGTGCCTCTGCTTGGGACTGAATGCCACTGAACTGAAAGCATTTTGCTGCTCTGCGTGCAGGACTCGCATGGCGAGGCTGCCCGTGGCTCCCTTATGCAAGGAAGATGTAGCACAGGGGAAACGACAGGACAATCTCTGGACTGGGCCATAATTCTCCTCTTGGTGTGGCTTCAGTGAATTGGTCAGAATCTTACACTAATGTTACACAATTACACAGACCTACTTTGATGCAACTGCTGTGTTGAACGTGAAATGCCAATGAGCCGTGACCCGGGGACGTACATGTAATTGGTATTGGTCGTGTGTAACGAAACAGCAGGAGGAGAAATGCAAATGAAACACAAAATGCCCCCTTTAATGGTAATCTAACAAGGGACAGTGCATGAGCATCTCACGTGCCTGACACAGCCTGACTAGGTGGCTCAGTGGCTAAGGCACTGAGCTTGTCGATCAGAAAGGTTGGCAGTTCAGCGGTGCGAATCCCCAGTACAGGTGAGCAGGAGGTTGGACTAGATGACCTCCAACTCTGTTACTGTTACTTGCTGAACTCTCACGTGAGATGGAGGAGCTGCTACAAGGAAGGCCGAAGTCTTCCTAGCTTGCTACACTTTTCAATCCATTCTGTGTGAGAAAAGAAGTTTTTTGCAACTGCTGATGCCAAACATGTTTCTCTCATGGAGGGTGGGCAGGGGAGGAACCAAGATGATATATCTGGATACATTTATGCAACTTTTAGAACCAAGGCTGTGTCTAAGAAAGCAACTAAAAAAGAACCATCCAGTCTAACAAAAACTGGATTGTGCAACTAGAACCATCGCACAAATTAACCACATCTGCATCATCCCTCTTTCTTGGTGGCATTTATTCAGCCACTGGGCTCACGTGGAGAGTTTGCGACTCACGTCCTTCAAGGTGCATCAAGAGAAGTCAGTGTTGTATCATTGCCTAAACCAAAACGATTTTATACCTCAGGCAGAAAACCCAGAAGAAGCTCCTTCTTGAATTCGGGGTACAAAAATACAGTAACCGGGGCCCAAACTGGCCTCCAGGCAACTTGGTTTTCTTTCCCCAAGGAAACAGCTTCCCTCCTTCTCCGTCATGAAACCACGTAAAAAAACCACAAAACTGGTACCTGGTTTTTAGGCTGAAGTTCCAGAATCCACAATGAGGGCACTATGTTGATGAGATAGACAAAGATCGGCGGTGAAAACCTGAGAAAGGACAAAAAGCGTTGGGTTGAGCACCCTGAGAAACCATTACAGAATTCTCTGTCGAAACATTGAAGGAATAAGCGGGATCACCGATGCCCTGGGGTGGGTGTGGACATTCGTATGCCCACAGCTGGTGCCCACTAGATTTCCCACCACCAAGCTGAATTTTTACAAAGCTTCTCTTGGAAATAGGCAGGCAGCAAAGGGGCAGGAGCAGAGACTGCCTGTAAAATCTTGAGACTTTCCAGAGGACCCACAAGCTTGCTTAGAAAATAAATGGCTGTTCCATGTTTTTCTCGGAAGAAAAGGCCACGGTACCCTTGCAGGGAAGAGAGGAAGCTGCAATGGGGCTGATGGTGGGCTTTTTGAATGGAGCTGTGGGGCCACTTTGTCAGCTGGAAATGGGCTGTGGCAGTGGTAAAATTCAATTTCTTTTACTACCGGTTCTGTGGGCGTGGCTTGGTGGGCATGGCTTGGTGGGCGTGGCAGGGGAAGGCTACTGCAAAATCCCCATTCCCACCCCACTCCAGGGGAAGGATACTGCAAAATCTCCATTCCCACCCCACTCTGGGACCAGCCAGAGGTGGTATTTGCCGGGTCTCTGAACTGCTCAAAATTTCCGCTACCGGTTCTCCAGAACCTGTCAGAACCTGCTGGATTTCACCCCTGGGCTCTGGGTAATTGACCCCCACCTCTTCCACAGCCTGCAATTGAAACCACAAAGACGTTGACCACCCAAACCCTTTGGGGACCATTGGCCTAAGGAACGGAGGGCAGAGAAAATCCACTGCTCCCTCTCCCTGGCTTCTGCATTGCTTCCAAGGTCCTCAACTTCTGCAACGGGAGGCAGAGTTTAGACTGGGCAAATGCCCCCTCACTTGCCTTACAAAGTAGTAGGCCTGCCCGTTCTTAGAACTCGAGTGAGACAGGATCCTTTCTGGGTCTCCAGAAGACAAGAATCAGAGGAACCAAAAGCAAGTTGGCTCCCTAGTTGCATTGTAGGAAGGGGCTGATCCAAGGGTTGGGGGAAGGCTGCTGAGGAGTGAGAGGCAACATAGGGACTCCCAAGATTGCAACTTGTGGTTTCAAAAGTTTGGGATCCCCTGTTGGAAGGACCCCAGGGCTTTTATTTGTGGGATTCCTCAACCTTCCTCTTTTCTAGAAAAGCAAGAAAGAGGAGAAGATGAAAAGGAGGAGGAAAACTTACAACTCTCTACATCAAAGGTCTTCAAATTTGGCAGCTTTAAGACTTGTGGACTTCAACTCCCAGAATTCTGGGAGTTGAAGTCCACAAGTCTTAAAGCTGCCAAGTTTGGGGACCCCTGCTCTACACAGAGATTTCCTATCCAGCCTTTTGGTGAGGAAATTGTGACACAGACATGCTTCCATCTGGCATCTGGAACATAAGTCAGGTGTGGAATCAGGGAAGATTGTGGAGGTGGTGGGGGAGCAAGCTGCACAAGGGAGGCTGCCCTGCATGCTGAGTCCCACCAGGGTTCCTGCCTCCTCAACTTGGTCCAGCTGGCTGCGAGCGAAGCTGATCTAAACAGGCGTCTTTCACCAACGGGCTTCTCTTCTCTCGCTGCATCTTCGGGGGGAGGAGGAGGAGGAGGTGCCTTGTGAAAACATTCTTGGCTGAGCTCTGCCTTCCTCCTTCCAGGATCCTCATTAAAAGTGACTGTAATACCACCTTCCAGCCTTTTTATTAAGAAATAACATCATCATGGTCATTTTATATTTCTGTGAAGTGCTGAGTGGGGAAGAGGAGGCACGTAGAGCAGAGGTCTTCAAACTTGCTGTGCTGGCTGGAGAATTCTGGGAGTTGATGTCCACAAGTCTTAAAGCTGCCAAGTTTGAGGACCTCTGACGTAGAGAAACTACGTCATCAACTGGCCTTGGGGGCCTCAGAGAGCCAAGCAAGACGGTTGGAAGGGGAAGTTTCAATAGGGATCTAAAGAAATACTCTGGAAGAAATACTGATCCCAGGAAAACAGCAGGGTGAGTCCATGTGATCAGCAGGAATAAACAGAATAATAGAATTGGAAGGGATCTTGGAGGTCTTCTAGTCCAACCCTCTGCTTAGGAATCAAGGAGCCCCAATGATATGACATCCCTGATTGCACAAATGACATGGCACAATGATGTCATGAAGTCACATGCCTCCCATTGGCCCAGTTTCATGGATACCCATGACTGGTATCAATTGGGACTCCAGGAGGCCACTATAGGAAATAGCAAGCCCAATAATTATCAAGTTAAGTAATTATCAGCTGCTGCAATGATTCCCCTTTCGGTCATGTTTAAAAGTATAATTTAGCAGCGAAGTTAGAGGGTGCAGAGAAGGAAGAAAGGGCCACAAGGAAAAGAGTGGTCCATGATGGAGCGACACCAGTCAGTGGCGGAAGGATGAAAGCCAGGCTGCATCCGAAAGGACAGGAATTGCTTTTACAAAAAGAAAGAGAGAGGGGGGAGGGAGGGACGGAGGGAGGGAGGGAGGGAGAGAAAGAAAGAAAGAGAAAAAAGAGAAAGAAAGAAAGAAAGAAAGAGAAAGAAAGGAAGAAAGGAAGGAAGGAAGGAAGGGAGGGAGGGAGGGAGGGAGGGAGGGAGGGAGGGAGGGAGGGAGGAAGGACAGACAAGGATGTTTTCCTAGACTTTTGGGTACCCCCCGCTTCCAAGATGGCTGAGACGGGTATGGAAAGAACCTCTTTCTTTGGGTGACAACTGCTGACCAGTGATCCATATCCAGACCTCTGTGCCTCAGGTGACCCTTCAGCCATGACTGTAAGTTATACAAAATGGTATTTTGCAGAGGAGATCCAATTCAAAGGCCTCCTGCTTGATGTTCAGTCATTGAGTCATTTCTGACTTAGGACTTTGTCAAAACTATTTAACAGCATCCTGAGTGCTTGGGAGCCCCTGCTTGTCCCTAGGCAGACTGTCTGGTCACCTTGTTCTTCCCAGCCTCTTTCTTGACTGCCTCTGAATCCACCAAGCATCTTGGCCAATGATTCTCACCTTTGCATTGTTGTGAGCCTCAACCATCATCATGCAACACTCAACCAACAGGAGATTTGTCGGAAAGGTCCATGCTGAGAGAACCATTTTTATCCTCTCTCCACCCAGGATCGGTATTTTTGTTGTTATGTTATTTATTACTGAGACTTTTTAGATTTTTATCAGTTTTATATTGGCTATAGTGTGGCATCCTGACCCCCCCTTTGGGGGGAGGAGATGAGTGACTATGTAAATTTGTTTAATAAATAAATACATTGATTGAATGAATGAATAAAATTCTGTGTCCAAAATATCCCAGCTTTAACTTCCACTGAACAGCTTGGCTTTGCACCATCTGGTACTGAACATGGATTCTTCTAGTTGTCCAAGATAATGATTTTTCAAGCATAGTTCAAAGCCATCCATTTAATAGTTGAATACTTGGTAGATGATACTTAAGTACTTAACTGTTTATTGGAACAGATTGAATTTAAACTTCAAAGAAGTCAATCAAGATATGAATCCAAGAACTCTGAACCTTTTCTCAAACAAAAGAGTAGAATACATTGTCAAACAGAAGGAATAGAAGATACCGGTGCACGTGGTTGGAATTCAAAGGTTTCTTGGTGGATAGGCAGTTTGATGCTGTGGACTGAAGTTTTGAAATGAACCTGCATGACCAGTGAGAGAAATGGAGAAAAATGCACTGAAGGGTCCATTTTTCATCAGAAGCATGAAGTTCCTGAGATGGGTGACTGAGTTGCTGCTCAAAGGACAGTCACAAAAAGGTTGAGGGCCTCTCTGAAGGCTCCCCATCGTGCTCACACTTGGGCCTCTCTCCCTAAAGCAGAGGCACTCGATCTGGGAGGGGGAGAGAAGAAATGGATCCCTTCCATTAAGCAGAGTTGCTCCTTCAGTCTCCTTGATCACAGAGAAGACAGGGGTAGGATTTTACCCAGGAGCTCTATCAGCAGAATCACCATAAGACTTTCTCAACTCTGCTCTTGAATTGGATACTGACAAAACCAAGGAAAATCTGTAGATAACAAGGAACACCTGTTGGAGATGACTTTTGTGCGATGCAGGTACAAGGCAAAGGCATGGATACCCTTGGCATGTCTACCCAATGGACTGGTCTAGAGCACAGGTGGGACAAGTTGGGACAAGTTTATTTATTTATTTATTTATTGGTTCAATTTATATGCCGCCCTTCTCCGGAGACTCAGGACGGCTTACAATGCGTTAAGCAATAGCCTTCATACTTTTGTATATACCTGCTTAATAGGGCTTTTGGCCCCCCCTAAGCGGTGTTCTTTTTTATACAAAGTCAGCTTATTGCTCCCACAATCCGGGTCCTCATTTTACCTACCTCGGAAGGATGGAAGGCTGAGTCAACCTTGAGCCTGGTGAGATTTGAACTTGCAGTAATTGCAGGCAGCTGGTGTTACTTAACAGCACTTTAGTCTGCTGCGCCACCAAGGCTCAGGTTTAATTAGGCCTGCCCAGGCAAAGTGGGAGAATGTTCAAAACTCTGTTGGCTTTTGCTCCCTGTCCATTCTTCCCAGGCCAAGGCTGTTCTGCAAAGACGGAGGACCCCTGTGAGATATCAGCTGGAGATAATACATTCAGTTCTCATCCCAACAGAGCCCCGTTCATTCATTTTATCTGGCCCAGGGAGGAAGAGATTCATTTATCATTTCACAGTCTTGTAAATTTGGAGAACTCTGGTCTACAGAAATAGCCATTCCGTGTATAAGAGCAGCCTTTCAGTATGAAGAGGTGGATAAGTTTGAAAACAGGAAGCCGTGTAGACCATCTGCCTCCCATCCTGAAAGGACACCTTTGTTCTTCCCCTTGCAGAGACGACGTGGTCCTTTTCCCTGCTGAAAGGTTAAACCAGAGTTTCAGAAGAAGGACAAACCCATCTTGATGCTGATGAGATCAGAAGTCAAGAATCTTCCCCCATTTGGGGGAAAACAGGACACTTTTCAACTGCTCTTTTTCCTCTTCCTGTCCTGGTTTTAGCAGCCCAGTTTTACCGAGAGTCACCAGACGTGTCGATGTCTCCAGAGTTGGCTTTGCAGCTGTGAATTAAAACTGGCTTTCCTTCTTCTGGACATTGTCAAGAGCGGTTGAAATTGCCTTCAGTACTTAGCCCTGATCTCTCCAAGCTGATGTCCTCTCAGTGCAAAAATGCTGATCAGCAGAAGGTTGCAATCTGATCATCTGCCGGGAAATTTGTTTAATAAATGTGTTGTCATTTCTCCTTCAATGGGATCTTGGGCTACGTGTAGATTGAACTGAGAAATTGACTGAGCCACTGTTCTGTTAGAGGCGTCCAACAAGGCTCCCATTATAATCTGAAATAAGGGTCCTTCATGTGACTCACCAATTCATTTATCCACTCATCCATCCACTTCATCCATCCACCCATCCATTTTTTAAATGCAAGCCAAATAGCGGATGCCTGAAGCCACCTCACTCCACAGCCCAGTTCTGCTGAAAGGGCATCTCTCTTTTCAGCTCCTGCTGCTTCTCACCATCCCGGGACAAGACAAGTCCAGTCACAGACTGAGCTTCCACAACCAGAGAGAGGGCTGGGAGCTGGGGGATGGAAGGGTGGGCTGATTACCAAAGTCCACCAAGTCATTTTATTCTAAGAGCAAAAGTGGGATCCAACATAAGGACAAGCTGTTAGTCACAAACACAACTTTTTGTCACAGGTTGGTCCCCTCCAGACAGGGTCTTCTCCGAGTTCAGTATACCCAGAGCTGCACCAGGACTGTGCCGGAGCGCTTAAACAAATGGGCCCAGGGGTGTATTAACCATTAAGGAGACTAAGCACGTGCTTGGGGCACCAGGCCCAAAGGGGGCACCACAAAGTTGAGAAAGAAAGAAAACCCAATGAAGATTTGTACAGTATGCACAAAGGAGGGGGGCACCGAGATTTGCCAGTGCTTAGGGCACCAGTGAGCCTTAGTCCGCCACTGAATGGCCCGAGGGCCTCCTGGAGGCAGAAGTCACCCAAGCGCCAGCGCCAGCTCCTCTCTCGGAAACTTATATATGTTTATACATTTATATAAATTTATATATTTATATGTTTTTTTCTCGTACATGTTTGACAAACTAAATAGAACTAAATAGAACCCCGGAGGGAGGCAGGGAGGGAGAGGAAGACCTGGAGCCCCGGCGGGACGCGGAGCGCTGGCTCACCATTTGTAGCCTCTTCCCCGCTTCAGCTTGAGCGTGAGCGCCGTTTCCAGGCACAGCAGGAGGTTGAGCAGCGCCAGCAGCCAGTACTTGCGCTCCTTCTTCACCTCCGCCACCCGCCACACGCCCAGCAGCGCGTGCAGGGCGAAGAGCAGCCGGGTGGCCAGCGCGTTCAGCAGCACCATCGCCTCCATCCTCTCGGCCCGCGGAGGGTCCCGCGGAAGAGCCCGGCCTCCTCCTCGCCCCTCCCTCCCCTCCCTCCCTCCCCCGGACTTCCTGAAAGGGGGACAGGCCGCGGCGGGGAGGGCAAGCTGAGCCAGGCGGCCGGAGGTCGGGGAGAGCTCCCCGCGGCCCCTCCAGCGCGCCAGGGGCGGCCAGGTCCCCACCCCGGCTGGCGGGCTGTGGCTCTGCTGGGGAGGGGCTGCCTCCCGCCCAACGCAACATCCCGGCCAGCCAGGACTCCCTTGGGGGCTTCGCATCTCTTCGCAAAGGGCAACGGGACAGGCAGACGCTCTTGGGACAGGCAGGCGGGGCGGGAATCTCACAAACACGCCTCGCTTTGGCCGGTGCCGAAACCCGAGGCGAAGACGCCACTTCCACAGAGGACCAGCTCTTGATAGCCACGCTTCATGCAGTGAAGGTGGGGGAGGGGACCGCTAGTGCAGCAGAAGTTTGGAAAAATGCTGCTGAGCCCCAACTGTCAGGGCTGGGCTGCAACTCCCACTTGAAGATTTTCTGAGGATTAAAATTTAATATCCCCAAACTTTTTTTTTTCCAAGTCTTCCACTTTCTCTACTATTAGTAGCTGAGTTAATAACACATGTTCCTGGAGGATTACAGTCAATGATCAAGAAAATTAGATGTTGTTTGAATTTAATTTAGTTATATAAAGCTGCTACAGTAATTTACAACTTTGATATTTAATATTTAATAAGCTGGTTCTTCCAAGAATCCTCTCGGTAATTGTCTTGAAATCCTACCCCCAGAAGTCATTTATGTTTTCTAGCTGAAAAACCTGTTTGTCAACTCATCTGGCTTGATAGGAACTGTCTGATGACGAAGACAAGTTCGTTTCCTTCTATCCAATATGTCGTGAGACACTTGAGGAGAACTTGCAGCTAAGATCTCTGGCAAGGGAGATCCTGCTGGTTTCTTGTTTTTATCGGCTCCTCTTCAGAGGCTTCTGGTTCTTCATCACCCGATGAACATGATTTCATCAGAATTGTCTATTAACTGTCACTTCTTTGCATTCTTGCAAGATTTTGCTGGTGTCATCAGTGATGGTATCTGGTCCTCTGATCTTCAGTCAGCTTCTTTTTCAAGGATCCTCTATTCCTTCAAGCAATAGAAAAAGCAACACCACTTAGATTTATATATACAACTTCGCAGTACTTTACAGTGGTTTACAGAGTCAGCATATTACTCCCAACAATCGGGGTCCTCATTTTACAGGCCTCAGAAGGATGGAAGGCTGAGTCAACCTTGAGCCAGTGAGGATCAAATTGCTGAACTGCTGGCAGTCGGCAGTCAGCAGAATTAGCCTGCAGTACTTCATTCTAACGACTGGGCCACCACGGCTCTTGCCAAGGACTTTGCATTATGTGACCAAATTAGCTAAGCTTTTGCCTTCATTGTTAGTGCTTCCAGTTGAAAGCCTGGTTTTATTTCTACTAATATTGGATCATTTGTTCTTCTTGTGGTCCAAGGAGTCCCCAAAATGTTCTCCACCATCGCAATTCAGAGGCAATCTGCATACTGTTCTGGGAAAGCTATAAAATCCTTGTCTGAAAAGACCCAGAATCCAGGAGGAAAAGAGAGAGCCAGTCCGTAGCTCTTGCCCCATCTGGAAGCACACTGGCCTTCTGTTCCAAGCAGTGTTTCGGAGCTGTGTGTTTTCTCTGGGCACTTATGCATTTGATGCTGGTCTGCACTCCGTGCCTCCTACTTTTGCAGAAATAGCTCTGGCCAGAGAGGCCAGTAGCTGCAAAATCTTATGAAACTCCCAGCATATTGGAGAAGAAAAGTATCCCTTGGGAAAATATGTGTAAAAGGCCTTTTTTGCAAAGGGTTAGCCAGATGTCATTTCAAGATTATACTCTTAATATCTCTCTCTCTCCCCCCTCCCCCTCTCTCTCCCTCTCTCCTGCCCCCATTAAACTGTTCTAAACAGAAGCTAAGGGATGCAGTGGCTCAGTGGCTAAGACACTGAGCTTGTCAGTCAAAAGGTCGACAGGTCAGCAGTTTGAATCCCTAGTGCCGTGTAACAGGGTGAGCTCCCATTACTTGTCCAAGCTTCTGCCAACCTAGCAATTCGAAAACACGTAAAAAATGGAAGTAGAAATATAGGGACCACTTTTGGTGGGAAGGGAACAGTGTTCCGTGCGCCTTTGATATTGAGTCATGCCGGCCACATGACCACAGAGACGTCTTCGGACAGCGCTGGCTCTTCAGCTTTGAAACGGAGCTGAGCACCGCCCCCTAGAGTCAGGAACGACTAGCACATATGTGCGAGGGGAACCTTTACCTTCACCTTTAAACAGAAGTTGCTTCTAATAACAATCAGAGTGGGATTGCAGAGCATATTATTCTAATAATAACTGGCAATTTTTTTTCTCTAAGAAAAAACTCAAGAGCCATGTATGACTGAATATCAGTCTGCTTGCAGTGAATTTCCATCCCCACTGAATGCAGCAAGAGCAGGGGAGGCTTTAAGGGCATCTCCTTTGTGCTTGAGAATGTGGCCATCCGGATATAAACCCCCCCCCCTCCCCCCCCCCAAGTCCCAGGAAGCAGCACGAAGCCACCACAGCTGAGCAATGTGCAAATGTGACGTTGGCTGTAACACTTCCCCTCCAGAAAAAAATAATCCAATAAAAGTAAAGAAAGCCCATTACTTTATATATAATTTATATTGTTTTATAAATCTTTCCTTCTGGGGTATTATTTTCTTGGTAGCAGCAAAGATGTGGCTTCATGGTGGCTTCCCACTTTCCTGTAGATAGGGCCAACCTCCATCCACACCACAGAGCCATGCAGTGCAGGCTGCCAGACAGAAGGACATCAATTACAGTCAGTTCAGGTCCTCTGAAACATACTTCTGGTAGGTTTTCCTGCAACTGATCCAGTGGTGGGTTGCCCCCGGTTCACACCGGTTCTATAGAACCGGTAGTAAAACTGGCAGGAGGCTCTACCCACCGATCCCGATGTCATCAAAATGCTTCTGCGCATCCACAGAAGACCACGCGTGCACGCTTGCTTTGCTCGCACGTGTGCACAGCCCCGCTGCAAACCGGTAGTAAAGGTAAGTAGAACCCACCCCTGGACTGATCCCCATGAAAAGACTGTCCCCGGGACAGTCCTGGATACCATCATTCTCCTAGGAGCATCCGGAGGTGGCAAAGTTCAAACCAGGATTGCCTGGGTTTGCCACCATCAGTTCTGACATATAACAAGTCTTCCCATTCCTGCTCAACCGGCCCTTCTTGTGGAGTTGTCAGATAATCCAACAGAAAGTCTCTCAAGGATCCTGATTATGAAGAGTTTCTGACTCAAAGTTTCCAAGAATCAGAAGCCCTGAACATCTCCAAAACCACTGCACTGAGGAGAAACGGCTGCTTCAAGGAACTCTGGCAGCAGCCCAGTCCATGCTCCCTGAGGCACCTTTGGTGCTGCAAAGCTGTTATAGTAGAGACCCACCCATCCCAACTCCCTGTCCCTGTTTCACACATGGCTACCTCAGGAGTGTTGAGGTCCTTCTGACCCCCTGAGTAAATGAAGGCAGGGTGGCCTGTTGTCTCCCCTCAGGGTGTGAAGACACAGCACTTTGGCAGGATGACTGGGAAGCCAACAGGCTGAGGAAATAAACTGGACTTTAAGATCCCTCTCACTTTAAGATCAGCTTAAACTTGAGAGGGAGAAAAGGCAAAAAGTCAAAGCAGGCAAGAAAGCAATTCATGATCAAAGTAGATTTCAGGTTCCTAGCAAGGAGAAGAGAGGCCGTCTTCTCCTTCACCTTCATTCTGATCCGCAGAGGTCTGATCTGCAGAACTGAATTACATGCAATTTGAGAAACCGCCCAATAAAAATATCAGAAGAATACTTGAATTAGATGAAATGATATAATGAAATTACTTGCTTGGGAGGCTTTTTATGCTTAATGTAAGTATTTTCCTTCGGTTACCAAGGAGATAAATTGGCTACAGGTGAAGGAAGAATGAGGGGAAGATGGATCCATTTTGCTTTATAATGTTCCATTTAGAATTCCACATTCAGTTGGAGCACCACTTTAAAGAGAAGAAGTCCAACAGGCGGAGCTGATTGCAGGGAAATGAAACTTGAGATCCCCACAGGCCAGGACGGCATCTCTGCTCCTGGGTAGAGGGTTAGGGGACCCCAATAAGGAAAGGCCCGGCTCCCCCTTCCTGAAAGCTTTTGCTCACTTCAGATCAGCAATAAATAATAATTCTAATCACTCCCAAGATATCTGAGGCAGATGCTGCATGTGCAAAAGGGTGAGGCAAGCATTATTTCCGATATTTAGGAGGCTTTTATTCAACCCTTACCTTGTACAGGTGTTGTGGTGCTTCATTATCCTGAGCAACTTGACCGTGCCCTGTGGGATATTCTGAGGAGGAGATCAAAGGGTTCCTCCTCGGGATCCTTGGTCTCCAAAGCCTTCCCCCAAATGGACATGTCCCCCCAGAGTTTTGAGGGATGGGAACCTTTGAAACAGGAAGAATGGTGAACCCAGAAATGGCAGGGGTGAGAGGGATGCAGCCTCCCTGGCAGCCGGTAGGGGCTCCTCTGCTCCTCAGAACCAAGGGGTCTCCTGGAAGAGTTATGGGGGGGCTCCGGAATAGGGGAACAGCAGCTCCTTGGTATAATTCCTCCATCTTCAGTCAGACTGCCGAAGCAAGTGGCTTTTAGAAGACAAGTCAAAGTATTGTGACAAATGTTTTGCAAATTACCATAAACTACAAGCAGAAGAATGATTTCTGGGAGTTGGCAATTAGGAGTTTGCTCCTGATTAGTGAACTTGTGAAACTTCGACTAATGAATCGTTCCTCCCCCGAAATAGCCAGCACAAAAATGGAAGGCTGTGAATCTGGGAGGTGTGAGAATTATTAGGAGTGACAGGCTGCTGACTCGTTCCATTATTGCCATAACTTTTTGAAAATAAGTATCTATTAAAAGTTTTATGAA